TTATACTAAAATATAATGGGATTTAAAACTGCATACTTAGAATTTTTCTCAAAAATCTGATTTGAAAGTAGATCTTCATACTAACTGTATTTAAAAAAAATAATGTGCGAAAAGAAATTCAAGTAAAAAACTTTGCATACATTGCGAAAAATTCTCTGTGCCAATACTTTGATCCGGCACTATAAATATTTATTAATTATAATTCCATTCAATAAAATAACTACAATAATTTGAATTAATTAATTGCCTTTATTTTTAGCATTCAAAAACAGTAGATAAAGCAGTGTAGAAAAACGCTTTTTTAACGTAAATTAATCGTTTACGAGACTCGTTTACAATTAAAAAACGGACGTAAAAATATTCGCATACGGATGCTTTTTCGATCCGTTTACGACTGTTCGTAGGCGATGCACAATTTAAACCGAAAAAGTGCTCGAAAAAGAGTCGTAAACGGCTATCATAAACGATTTTTAATCTGGTTTTTCTTCGAGAAAATATCCAATTACGAGCTTGTTTACGATGGTTTTGCTGGCTGGGTGAGTGAGTCGGTTTGGATGTGTTTGTGAAAATAAATATGTGTTAGTTACACCAACATCCCAACGGGACTGAAAGTTAGCTGCTCCCCAAAGGAGCAAGTACGGAGTAGTACAAATGCAAAGTAAAATATAAATTTTGAAATTTCTAACAATGCTCAGAAATATATATCATTTTGAGTAGTAACATAAAATATTTTCTTTTGAAAAAAAAGTTAATTTATGTACAAACATATGTATGTATGTATTTTCGTATGTATACCGCATAGAAAAGAAAAACAATAAGTACACTTAATAAAGCCAACATCTGGCTTACAAAAAAACGCCATTATTTTATTAAAACAAAAATATAATATAAAAATTAAAATTTGCATGCATCGCTTTTTAAATGCTTTAGTTGAAGCGCTGACTAAGGGCTTATTTGGGAGCAGCAAGAGAGCGCTTCTTTCACAATGTGAAAATACAATGAAGTGTGAAATTAGGAAGGGAGCGCTTACTGCTGAATATGGAGCGCTCCAATAGAACTAATGGCGCGCTTCTGGCCCCGTTGGGATGACTCCCGGCATGACTCTGAATGATTCAACTGTGTGTAGTCGAAGGCGAGTACACAAATGGCTCGCAAGTAAGACGTACCGCGTATGCCACCTATTACATTTATTCGTTTCAATAATTTCAAATGGGGCTCTTTGGGGAATTTATTTTTAGCAAAAATTTTAAAAACAATAGTTTTGTTTACTTGTTGGATAATATTTTTTTCATAGGGATATACATTGGATCCTTGGCTAAAAGCTTCTGTGGTATAACTGTCTTTTCTTTGCTATTTAAAGTAACTATTGAGTATTGAGTAAGCTCCTTCAATAGGGATTTCCAGTAGAAATGAACAACGTCTAGCTATAAAGAGAATCGATGCTCATATAATTAAAAAGCTATAGTTAGATAAGAATTACGTATATAATTAAAAAGCTATAGTTAGATAAGAATTACGTAACTATCTGTTATTCAAATGCTTATAAAAAACGGGGTGTTTAAAAAAAAATAACAATATTCTGATCCGATTCGGCTGGCAGCCACTACTTTGAAAACAGAATTTTGTTCAAAAAAAATAATCTATTTTCCATATCCACCTATTTAGCTCGCTAGAAGCACAAATTTTTCAAAGCAGTCGCAGAAGAAAGTATTAAAAATTAATTACAAAAACTAAAATCGAAAAGTGCTGATAAAGTTACAGATTCTCCAAATTCTGAAACAAAATGACATATGTATCTGGTTTGGCTTGTAAGCGCTGTTTAAACAACGATCTCGCCATTATGCTAGATTCTNGCGCTCCAATAGAACTAATGGCGCGCTTCTGGCCCCGTTGGGATGACTCCCGGCATGACTCTGAATGATTCAACTGTGTGTAGTCGAAGGCGAGTACACAAATGGCTCGCAAGTAAGACGTACCGCGTATGCCACCTATTACATTTATTCGTTTCAATAATTTCAAATGGGGCTCTTTGGGGAATTTATTTTTAGCAAAAATTTTAAAAACAATAGTTTTGTTTACTTGTTGGATAATATTTTTTTCATAGGGATATACATTGGATCCTTGGCTAAAAGCTTCTGTGGTATAACTGTCTTTTCTTTGCTATTTAAAGTAACTATTGAGTATTGAGTAAGCTCCTTCAATAGGGATTTCCAGTAGAAATGAACAACGTCTAGCTATAAAGAGAATCGATGCTCATATAATTAAAAAGCTATAGTTAGATAAGAATTACGTATATAATTAAAAAGCTATAGTTAGATAAGAATTACGTAACTATCTGTTATTCAAATGCTTATAAAAAACGGGGTGTTTAAAAAAAAATAACAATATTCTGATCCGATTCGGCTGGCAGCCACTACTTTGAAAACAGAATTTTGTTCAAAAAAAATAATCTATTTTCCATATCCACCTATTTAGCTCGCTAGAAGCACAAATTTTTCAAAGCAGTCGCAGAAGAAAGTATTAAAAATTAATTACAAAAACTAAAATCGAAAAGTGCTGATAAAGTTACAGATTCTCCAAATTCTGAAACAAAATGACATATGTATCTGGTTTGGCTTGTAAGCGCTGTTTAAACAACGATCTCGCCATTATGCTAGATTCTAATCGTTTTTTTTTAAATACTTCACATCCGCATTCGCATTCGCATCCGCGGATGTTAGCTGTTAGATATTCGCATCCGCATTCGCATCCGCGGATGTCTAAAATTTCACATCCGCAACATCCCTAATATACATGATGTGAGTGTCTTTATATGAAGTTATCACATCTAAATATTTTGATTATCACTTATCGTTTGAAGTGCAAAAACTATTTTATTTAAAACATAAAAGTAGCCTCGTCAATGGAACAATGTATATGTACTTAGTACATACATATGCATAATTTTGCGGTATGTCCCTCGTACATATACATATATGTACGTATGTTAGTGAGCACAAAGTTATTAATGTTTGTAGATGAAATATGTACGTGTATCTACGTAGTATTTTTATTTTTCACTTTGAAATTAAATGATTTTCCGCCGGTTCTTGCTGATAACTGTTTGTTCACATCGCTGTTAGCACTAAAGGCTATTATGGCGACTTTTTAAAATTTATAACCCTAAATTTGTTTATTTTGTGTATTTGTGTTACTTAGCAGCGACAACAAAACAGTAATACACATAAAGTAAGCACTGTAATTGCTAAATGCATAGCGCCTATAAGAGCATTAAACCAATCAAATGTGAGGCACACGTGAGGCGCTGCTGAAGGTTGCCTGAAGGTCGGAGGGAGATGCTCCTTTTGAATTGTTTGGGGTGGTTCTTCAGAGAAGTTGAAATTCGTGTAAATAAATGTAATCGTACATATACAGCCCAGGTAATAAAAGCCAATAACGATGTACAGCCTAAACGACACAACAACTCACCTTTTAACACATATCACCAAAATGCACTCATAAGTTTATATTTTTCAACTTGTTTACTCTTTGCACCTCCTTATACACTTTATGTAAATATCCTATTTTGCGATTACTCTATTCAACTTCCTTCCGCCAATTCACAAATCCGTAAATACTTTTCCCTCGTATGAGAATGTTATTTCTGATAAGAACAGATGTCAAGTGTGTATATACATATGCATTTATACATATAAAAGTAGGCTTGTCAATAAAAATGTCGTACCTGACATTTGGAACGAAAATGTTCGGAAATGCTAGTCGTAATGTCGATAAAACAGTACACCTTCCGTGTTATGTTCGGGACGATGGCTTCTTAATTAAACAAAATAATTTCACATTGAACCATTCTTTGCAAAATCAGAGTAAAAGTTTTAGAAGCCAAATGACTTTCCTATGCAATAAAAACATTCTAAAATCTCGATAACTATTACTCACTAGTTATATCGGATTTAAAACAGAAAAATTTTTTAACAAAATGCATTAGAAGCCTTCAATATTTAATTTACACATTTTATTGGCAAAGTTTTAAGACATACATAATTAATGTTGGCTTACTATTTAATTCAAAATGGGTTTATGTAGCAGGAAAAATGTCAAATTATATGTCATTAGAAAGCATCTACTCTCGGAGGATCTGCAAACAGTTCTTGCTTTTTGCGATCACCAAAGTAGTATTGTTTGAGACGTTCTGCACGCATTGCCTGCAAGGGTTACAAACAACATATTCAGCACTTGAGACACTATTGTCTAGACATCTACAACTTACGTGGAACCTCAGCAGTTGCTTGCGTACTCCGACGCATTCACTGAAATCTGCAATAATATCGGCACACATCTTCTGGCCCCGTTCAACACCATAAGCTTCAAGGCAATCCATCATTTCCATTTCCATCTTGCCGCATTTTTCGTATGTCTGATGATTAATCAAACAGCCGGTTAAATCGGTAAATGGTGTTCGTAAAAATGGGCCCAGCGACATGACAACTAAAAACATGTAATAGATGGATGGTTAATAAGGAAAAAATGGAAGATATTGAAATCTTGGCGAATGTTGCCCATTGGACTGTCCGTGTTTTGGTTCCCCGAGCTGTGACGTAACAATTGTTTAAAGACTTTAGCCTGAATTATTAAACATATCCATACTTTCAACTCGAGGATAGCTCCAAGAAACAAAATCCTATGATTTCTATACTTTATAATAGTTACCGATTTATTAAAAAGATGTAAATCTGATTCTTTGAGCAGTTTTACCTGAAGAAGTAAACTTATTTTTTGTTGTTCTGAAAACGTCAAAGCAATCAGCTGCGTTGTGACCAGTGTTGCCAGGTAGAAATTTGGTCGTCATCACAGTATACGTCGTCATTTTGAAGATTTTTTACTACCATGACGATTTGGCGATTTTTGTGAACTAATGACGATTTTTCTTTATGCGCAAATTTGGCAGGTTCTCAACAGCACTAATTAGGAAAGTTCGATATTGTATCGATTATTCTGAATATCGATATTTCATGGGACGATAATCGATTTTTTGAATCGATATTCCAAGGTCGATATATCGAAGGCATCGATACTTTACCCACAATATCGATATTTAAGTTAAAATTTGTTTTTCATCCACAAAAAAGTGTACGGGAAAATACTAAGGGCCGGTTACTCAATGTCTGGTTAACACTAATCTGCGGTTAAACATCGTTATCGACGTCTTCGACTCCATGCATATAGCATTGACGGTAACGTCAAACGCATCAACCAGTTGGCCGATTTCATTTGAGTGACAGTTTTTGAACTGTGAACAACACAACAGCACTGGTAAACTTTTAAGCTATGCTAGGAATGCTTCCCATTTTTATGTATTTGTTATTGCTACCAGCCCCGTTTTCATTAATTATACGCTTTTCTCTAGTGAGACGAACCGAAAATCACATGTTAACGTTAATGCGCCTTTAAAAAAATGAAATCGCATTTTAGGTTGCCAACTTATCTACACACAGAGCAACAAGTTTACCAACCTCCCTCAAAAATCAAAAGCATTTCATTTTCTCCAACCTGACGCACAACTTGACGAAGGTTTGCCAAATTGCCTACACACGGCTTATTTACCAAAAAACTTCTAGCGGTTGGCCAACTGGTTGGCAGATAAATCGATCGGTGTATAGGGCCTTTTAGGGCCGGTTGCTCAAAGCCTGGCTGACACTAAGGGCCGTTTGCACCATGTCTAGTTAATTCTAAAGGCTCCGTTATGCATACTTGGCATGGCTTGAGAGCTGTCACATAAGAAATCTGTTAAATGAGCCTCGCGTATAAGCGGTTACCCAACGCACAGCATTACATACGTAAAAGTCTGTTGGTTTTTGATTTCTACGTAAAAATGGTATAGCAGTGCATGCAATGCCAAGTATGCATAACAGAGCCTTAANAGTTAACGTGCTTAACTGAAGGATGTACCTCCAGTTAGCGTTAACTAGACATGGTGCAAACGGCCCTAAGGCCGGGTTACATCGTTATCGACGCTACCGACAACTGGTTATATGCATGGAGTCGAAACGTCAATAATGATGTTAACCGATGATTAGTGTCAACCAGGTTTTGAGCAACCGGACCTTAATTTGATTAATTTGTGTAGCTTTGTGTAGCGTTGTATACTGCTACATATTTTATTGAGCCAAGAGAATTATGAATAAGGGCCGGTTACTGAATGTCTGGTTAACACTAATCTGCGGTTAAACATCGTTATCGACGTCTCCCACTCCATGTATTCAACAGGGAGTCGGTAACGTCGATAACGATGTTTAACCTGTAGTTAGTGTTAACCAGACATTGAGGGCCGGTTGTTCAATGTCTGATTAGCACAAATCAACTACTGCTTTATCGATCACATGTTACATGCATGATGTCGAAATCGTCGATAGTGTAGTGGTAGTGATAACCAGACATTGAACAACCGGCCCTGAGTAGCCGGCCCTAAGTTGTTTAGCAAACCTTGTAAGTATGAACAGAATGTAAAGCACATAGTTAAGGGCCGGTTGCTCAAAGCCTGGTTGACACTAATCATCGATTAACATCGTTATCGACGTTTTCGACTCAATTCAAATAACATGGTGTCGGTAACGTCGATAACGATGTTTAACCGAGGATTAGTGTCAACCAGGCTTTGAGCAACCAGCCCTAAGTTGCAGTTTGAAAAAAATAAGATTAAAAATATTTTTGTTAAAAAAGTTAAAGTTTTTATTTTTTACATACAGCAATCAGAAGCTAGAATAAAATTTAAAAACTAAAAGGGCTTCCCGGTTATGTTTATTAAAATTTTTTATTTGTTGAAGATTTTTACATGCAAATGACGATTTTTGATAACCAAACTGGCGATTTCTCACTGGAATACCCTGGCAACACTAGTTGTGACAATTGGGTTGTCGGCAATGCAGTTTTCGTCGCCATGCTTGCTCAATTCAGACTGAAAAAGAAATTGGGCGGTTGTTTACCATTTACCTAATGATATTTTAATTTATTTAAATTAAAAATGAAGAACCAGGATTTAGTTAACTATCTCAGGGAGTGTGGCGTGTGCTTATTCTGTCAATTACGTTATCTCAAAGCTCGCGGTAATGAATATCAGAATCGAAGGCAGTATTTGGAGAAGGTATCAATTTATTATGGTCAATAGTAAATTCCTAATTTTATTCCAACTTTAATCTTACAGGTTAATGTTGAATATAAAGATGAAACAGAAAGCAGTTCTGACCCGGCACATAAAAAGAAACGGCAGAATGTTTGCCCAACTTGTCTGGATCTATTTTCAAAAAGTTTCAAGGACCAACTCCTTCAGGCTATATTGGATACAGATATTGCAAAATACGAGTGCGATGGCATTGTGGTTGCCATTAGTATACCGATAGTGCTCCAGTTACGGCAATTGTCCATGTGGTATGCGCTTATAGATAAATTTGAAAAAAATTTTCACCAGGATCGGGCACCTGATGTTTCCTTGAAGGAAGCTATTAAGCTTATTTTGAATCCAACGATTTGTGAAAATCTTAAAAAAAAATACGATATTGATAATGGTCTCAGGATAAATATAAATTTATGCCATGAACTGGAAAATGAAGAAATCGCTCGATTGGAGAAACTCAACAACGTGGCGTATCCGCCAAAAACGGGCCATAAGTTGGAACCTATCTCACGATCTTTGATTGAGAAAAAATATACACCTTTGAGAGTTAGTTCAGAACTGTTCAAAAAAACATTTTCTGTACCACCCTCAATACCAAATGAAAGTCTGAAATTGGATTCCATTTCTCTTGTTGGTCCTACAGCATATGTAGCTGGGCGATATAGAAAAGTGTCCCGGAAGCTGTCACATACACCATGGGTATTAAATGGTAAAAGAGTCATGGACGACAGTATAGAGGAGATAATTATACGTTATATTGCTACGTACTTTTGGTAAGTGCAATGATTTCAAAAATAGTAATGATATCGTCGTTTAAAGTACAAAACCACGTATCGTCATTCTGCAAAACCGCGTAAATGGCATTGGCTGCCAAAAATTGGATTTGCTCCCACAAGCTCTTGGCTCAATCCTTATCCATTCGTCCTGAAATATACTAGCCAGAAATGCGATTGCTTTATAAAAAAAAGTGAACCATTATGAAGTATGAGTGTTTTTACTCTCTAGAAAATAATTTATGCAACCTCACATACGCCGTTTTGCATTATCTTGATACGCGGTTTTGCATTTTTTTGATACGCGGTTTTGTACTTTAAACGACGATATATAAATTTATGTTGGTACGAATATCTTGTTAACGTTTTCATTAAAGCGAGGATCGGACAAAAATAAATTTTATGTCAAGTGGGAGAGAGGATGTAGATGTAAGATGCCTTGGCACAGGTCGACCATTTGTACTGGAGATATCAAACGCTTTCCGAACATCCTTGCCCCCCGAACAAGCACGTCAAATGGAAGAATGCATCGATGCGTCACAGAAAGTGTCGGTACGCAATCTTCAGGTGGTTTCGCGGGATGATTTATCGCACATTAAAATGGGGGAGGAACAAAAACGAAAATGTTATCGTGCACTCTGTCAGCTGGATGGTTTTGCTACCGCAGATATTTTAGAAAAGCTAAATTTGCCGAAGGGATTCGAAATTCAACAAAAGACGCCTATAAGGGTTTTACATCGTCG